ATTACCTCAAACTGGCTTAGTACACCCCACACCTAGTCTCCTCTTTTTCTGATGTGCTCGGGATCTATGATCGGTCTCTTGATTCTCTTATATATAGCAAAACCCTCTCAGTGGCATATGAATCTCGATCTAAAACTAACTATCTAAGGCATCAATGCCTTAATCTTGCTCAAATCCCTTTGGCTATATCTTTGGAGCAATGGATCTCAATCTATAAGTAACTACCTAAGGCATCGATGCCTTAGTCTTGCTCAAGCCCCTTTGGCTTGAACCTTGGAGAGATGAAAATTAGATCAAAGAGAGAGGGAGAGATATACAAGCGATGGTATCCTCTCGTTTGCTACCGAAAAATCACACCACCACAAGCTAACATGAGCTTGGGCGTACCACCATAAACAAGAGAGAGAGAGAGAGAGAGAAAGATTTTGATTGGAACGTGTCCCTTAATAATACTTGGGAGAGATCTCGAAGTGCCACCTTTAGAAAAACTTCAGAAAAATCTTGCCCCGTTAGAAAAAATTGGGAGAGATGTTAAAGTCCTAAGAGGGGTGTGCTACCTATAGAGAGATATTAGAGAGAGAGAGAGAAAATAGGTGTAGATATTTTATGAGATGGGAGAATCTTTGTTTATAGAGTTTTTATGTTATCGGGTTTGTTTCAATTCGTAGGGTCGAATCTTAACTGTCGATCTAAGATTTTTTGAAAAAACTAAACCAAAAAATCTTAGGTTAATCATATCTCTAATAATTAACCCTATTAAAAAAAAAAAAAGATAACATAACAAAAAATATCAAAAGAAGTTTTTCAGAAAAAAAACAAAGTATAACTCTAACTTCTAAAATAAATATAATTCCTAAAAACTAACAAAAAAAAAAAAAAATCTACCAATATTCTAAAAATAAAATCAACAAAAATAAAAATAAAATTTTGTACCAATCATATATTGATCTGCATCACCTTCTATGACAACTCTCCCAAGATTGCATTGCGATGCAATCTTAGAACATTTTCTTTGGAGTGCTTACAATATGGAAGCGTTCCGCTCTAGCTCCATAAGTTGTTACCCAATTCGTCTCTCAAAAGGCCACCGTAACGAGTGGTTGAAATCGCCTAACTTGTGCTACCATCAAAATGTAGTTTTACCTAACGCGTAACCTCCACATGGCAAACAACCACCTCCACCTCTAAAAAAAGCAAGTGCATTTTGACAAGTGACCCACTTAGCTCACTTGAATCAAGTGACTTATATTTTTTTTTAGTTCAGCCTTTATTCCAATCCTGTAGCATTATTTTATGTTTGGAGGTCGGAGTATTTTATAATTTAACCTCACTGACATCGCCTAAACCAAAAAACGTACATACTACTTATATACCTTCCAATTTCCAAGCGCATTATCAGATTATTTCGTATCATCTTTTGGGTTTGCAAATCTTATTCTAGGTTTGAGACCCTAAACAACTTGGAGAATTTAAATAATTTAGCTTCGGTAACTTACAAAGCTATATTACCAAAATGCCACACTTGTTTATCTTCCCAATTCAGATGGGGCGATGTGGACATTGTCCAACAAATAATTAAAAGAGGTACCTAAGTGAAAATATTTGCAATGCATAACTGTTTTAGTGGATTAGTTGATTTAACAACTACCCAAAAAGGAATTAGTTGATTTTTCAACATCATTTAATCATGGAAAAGTAGATTATTTACTTTTGGTACAAGATGGTCACAATTAATCTTTGACCACTAGATGTGAAATTGGATGGTTGCATTTATTCTATTGACTATGCACAAACTTCAAAAGAAATTTTTTCAAACTTTGTAACACACCCAACCTATAAAATTTTGCATCGGATGGTTATAGTAAGTGGTCTCATTAAATATAGGAATAAGTTTACATAGAGCAAGGCTCTAAACAATCAAATTAGAGCCCACCTTAAAATTTTCAATAGTAGAGGTTGTTTTGATGCCCAAATATCTTCAAATTGATCATCCAGACATCAAGATGCATGGGCATGAGAAAAAAAACAAATTTCAAGTTTTGAAAATAGTGCATCTTGTAACGCATATTTGGACCGTCAATTTTCAAGATTTTCAAGTTTTCATAGCTCTGCTTGATCTATATTATTTTTTAAGCTTTAAATTTTATAGTTAAATAAATATATATATTTCAAGACAATCACAAAGATTTTCAGTATTGAAACCTTATTCCTCAACACTATTTAAAAGCGTGCTTTACTTTGATTGTTTAGAGTCTCACCTCTATACATCCGCACCCTTATATATAATCGCTTTAATTATTTGTTCCTGATATTTTCCTAGAATCTTTATTTTCCCTTAGAACGTTTATATTGCACCCTACAGTATACTTTACCTTTCTCGTAGGACATAGACATGCTCGTTAAAAATGGAAGTGATAAATGATAATGCGCATAACGCGCAACTTATTCTCTTACTGAATTTATTGGATAGTGACATGTAAATTCAAATAAATTGTATTTTCCCCAAATTTGCAACTACAATTTGTTAACGCGGTTCGAAACATACAAAATGCTTCACACTTTCCTTATTTGGCTCATACATGGACTCCAATTGACATCATACACTGTTGAAAAAAGAAGGGATTACCCCCATATTATGAAAGGACTATTGATATTGTGCTAGTTAATTTGCCTAGGGTTAACATAAGGCCTAAGCTTTATATTATAACGGTAAGATCATGCTTCGAAATCCTAAATTTCTTGGTCAATTTTCCTTTTGATGGCCTCAAAATCAACTTCGACCCTTGATTATATCGAAGTTCTAGAAATGGTGTAGATCTAGTGGATTTGTGAATACTTGAAATTTTCTAAATCATGTGTCAAAAGATAATATGATCGTTTTTTACGGTTCTTGGCACAAATACTGCATTTTCCAACTGAATTTAGAGATTTGGCTTTACTTTTTATCATAGATCTTACTAGTTATATAATTAATTTAGATATTAGATCTTTAAAAGAGGGAAAACCTTATGGAGCTCAGAGATAAATAACCTTCCAAATACCTTTTAAGTATTTTGCCCCACGAGCTACCAACCTAACCTTGATTATGGAATGTGCAAAGATTTGAAATCCTCATTATTAAGAAAAGTTTGAACTTAGAAAAATTACTTTTAAGGACATAATGGCCATTTGCGCCAAAAATAAGAACATTGGTATTTTGATAGTTGTATTAACAAGCAGTGTTAACATTTGTGGATGTACATTTTGTAGGGAATTGGTGGGTAAAACGGGGCAAAAATAATAGATAAATAAAATAAGGAAGCTTCTATCTCTCTTATTCTAGGCACGATGAATCACTTTATCAAAATCACATTTACCTTTTATTGATAAATAAAGGTATGTACTTAAGTTTTTACCCAGCAAATTTGTCCTCGAGATACATGGAAGTAGAGGATTGTCGATAATAACTTGCCCATACAAATGCAGAAGTATTGTCAATTCTCGAGCACCGGAATTGCCTCTATTCTAGAGATAGAGTGTGACAATAAAAGCTTGCCCCAACTTCATATGCACATGATTGTCACAATGTAATGTTCCACCGGAGCCATCATGTGGGGTACAATGTTAGCGTATAGATATCTTATTAGTATTGATATACATCGTTATGAATACATATCAGTATGGATATATATTTCTTAATTAGGTGTCTTTTTATTATGATAAGATTAATAAGTAATTATTCATAACTATTGGTATTTACCTTTAATTGTTACTTGCCATATATTTATAGGCGTATTATATATTCTTGATTAATCAATTAATAAAGATAGAGTTTTTTACAGTATTCTGAGTTTCCAATATGATATTAGAGCTCTAGACTCTTCAACCTAAGATCTGCGCTCACCGATCTCAGATCTAAGGTCGGGAAATTTTATGAGACTATGTTTTCGAAAAGCCACATGCTCTCGTCGTTGTTTTGCATCGACTTGCATTGTTTACTCTTGTCACCGTTTTGCATCGAATTGTATTGCCTGCTCTCACCCTTGTTTGGCCCAACCCTACACTAGCAATCTAATCCCCTCCTTCCCAAAGCAGTACAAGAGAGCTTGCACCATCTACACAATTTGTATAAAAAAAACTAAAAATAAAATAATTTGAGACACTGGATCTCAGATCAAACTGTGAGTGGCTCTCTTGATCAAAATTGGACGGCTGGATGGTACGAGTCAAGAGGATGTCAACATATTTAAATAAGGTTTCCATCTTCAAGGTTTCAATGTCTTTGATGTGGGATCAATAACCCAATAATATGACAAAAACAGTTTATAAGGCTTTATGCTTTTCAAAACACTATAGACCAATATGATTATTATTTGAAAAAGTATATAAAAAGATCATTTACTTTTGATACAAGAAAGTCGCAATTATTTTTTTCATCAGTTTTCTAATCTGATGGTCATAAAAGTATCATTGACTAAACTCAAAATAATAAAAAATAATAAAATAAAAAATAATCCCAAGCTATCCAATTCAACATCTAATGATTGGGAGTTTACAACAAAGATAAATAATCACATACCATACAAATGCTATTATTTTGAAATAAGATGAGGTATTTTTTCAAAACTAGCAAACAACACATTTTGGTTTATATAAAGGAATCATCATAAAAGAAAAAGTTAAATATTTTCCTTAAATTTGTTGCATCACTATCTTGAGATCTCAATTTAGCGGTGGTGAGGTTCCTATAAGAGAAAATGAAACGTTTCAACTACTGAGAGAGATTAAAAAAACCTGGAGTTCTCCTTTTGAGAACCTTCAGCAGACAATAAAGTGATAAACCCCTCTATTTCTGGAGCCTGTAAAATTATTCTATGAATCTGTCGCACTCTGTATTTTAGAACCTCCAGCGCTACTTTTTCCCCACGTCTTTTCAGAACCTGTAGCATTCACTATCCCTATGAGTGAAGCCCTTCTTCCAATATAAACTGTGAGCCATCCTTATGAACCAAACAAGAGCCATGGATACCGAGAGAGGTGACGATGAGTCACAGCACTTGAATTCCAAAGGCATAACCTTTGCCAAGGCTTGTTTCAATCTGTTAAACGCTTTATCAGGTTACAACCATCTTTTCTCTTACTAAGAGTCCTCTACTTTATGCTTCTAATGTTTTTTGTTCTTTATAATTTTCCAATTCCTGCCCTGTTTCATTGGCATTGGATGCTCGGAAAATCAGTCCCTCTCACACACACACACAAACATGCATATATGTTATAAACTCACCCATACATATGTATACATATATGAACATGCACATAGAGTCAATCTTGGAGGGAAACTCTCTCTCTCTCTCTCTCTCTCTCTCTCTCTCTCTACGCGCACACACTAACGAGGACTACTATAGTTATTAACTTACCTACTACTATATAGTTAGTAGTCGTGACTAGTACGACTACTACACTAAGATAGTATAACTA